TACTATATACCATCTAATGCCTTTGTAATTATATGTTAACAACGTCTTAAAGCTAAGCATTGTATAATTCATGTAATTGTTATCTTAAGGTCGTAGCAGACATATCCACTCGGAAACGGGTCGTCACCGTATCAACTACTGCAACGCACACTAATCGAAATCATTGCTTTGCCTCGGGACAGCTCGTGTTAATTTGTGCGTTGTGCGTGGCAGTTTCATACAAAGAATACTGGACGTAATTGGAAAAATCCTATGGAACAGATGAAACGGAAATGCGTCACGAGCGTCACACGACTATATTATATTATATATATTGTGTGTGTATGTGGGATGTTTTATGCACCGCCTAATGTTAGGTTATTTAAGAAGAAAAGTTTTACTTCAGATGTGGGGTCCGTGCAAACAATTTTTTTTTTATTTTATAGGGGGCATATGAGCAGATTGCTCTCCTGATGGTAAGTGATCACCTTTATCTATAAAGATCTGCAACACCAGGAATATTATAAATGCGATGCCGGCCTTTAAGGAAAGAATACGCTTTTTTTAGATTTTCAGGTCGTATTATTCCGGCAACACTGCTGGTGACAATATATTCAACAGTTTGGTCGTAGGAAGCTGCGTAGTAATAAAAATCGACAACATCATAAGAACAGCCACGCATCAAGATGATGGGGACGAAAATTCGTAGGGGGATTTTGAGTTGATATGTCTACTGCGACCTTAACCTTCGTAGCACTTGACTTAAGAAGCTAATATTGTATGACCCCACACTCCCCATTACCTCAAGGAACGGTTTCAATTTCTTGGTGTTGACTACAATTGTTTTGCGCTCTAAATATGATAATGTGTTAGAGATACCTCTCACCCGCTCTGAGTATTATATGAACTCTTTTTCCATTAAAAATGCCCATAACTATGAAACAAGCGCTCTTCCGACATCAGCCACGCCAAATCGTTACCCATTTTTAAAAACAAACTGCATGACTATCTGTTACTGCGATCTAACTCTGCTGATAATATATAATGGTTATATATATATATATACCTAGTCCGGTCATAAATTCTGTCACATGTTTAATATAAAATAATTGAAACAAGTTTATTCATTATGTAACCATTTATATACCAAAATGAACTTAACAAAACATAGATTCTTATGACAATAAAGTTTATTCAAAATGACCTCAAACTTTATACAGGCCTTCAATCTGCGCGGCCAGTCGTCTATCGCAGCACGAACGAGGTCCATGTCAATATCGGCGGCTGCCTTAATCAAGGCTGTCTTGAGTGACTCCAAATTGGGATGAGGTTTTGAGCACGAAATAGGTTCCACAAGGTTCGTCAGGACTGTATTTTCATACACAACTGCATTCGTTTTTACATCTTTCTCACAAAAATGTACCTCTGTTAAGCCCCAATACGAAACTCCCAACTATACCATGAGCGAGGATGGAAAATGATCTCGTTGGACACGCCGAATACGGTTGCTCGCTTCTTCACTACAGTGTATGTGTATACTGTGTAGGTGTGTGCGTACACCTTATCATTTTGATTGTTGTAGCTCTCTTCTACGGTAAAAATTTTTTCATCCGAAAAAAGAATTTCCCGATATTTTTTTCCCGCGTACCGCTTCAACAAAGCGCGGCATCTCTTCAGTCTCAGGTCCATTAGACGAGCATTCAAACGATGTCCTGTTGTTCATCGATATGCCTGAAGCCCTAAGACTTCATTTAACACCTTTTTAACCGTGGCTCTGCGCGTGGCTATTTTCATGAACAATTCGAAATTCGAATTCAATAAACGTTTTGGTGGCCAACATTCTAAAAGAAAAGTTTTTACTGTTTGACAATACTTATGATATGTTGTATTTGTGTGAATATGTTATTAATGTACTTTTAAGCTTTATAAATGCTTACTATTTACATAACTATTTTATATGTCCTCTATTTAACATGCTGGCATACTTCAACTTCCTCTTCGTTAAGCTGTCCTTTACCGCGAAGGTTGTCTGGAAGAGATAGCTTAAAGAATTTTATTTATCTAATGATATAAATACACCAAAATCATTAAAACGTAGCAATAACAAATCAACCATTAACACAACCTAATGTAAACCCATCAACGTTTATTAATAGGTCTCGTACTTAAAAGGCCCGAATCCCGAGACCCTTTAGTTTCTTAAGCAACTTCTCATTGAAGTATCACAAGTTGTGCATAACGAATACCATTTGGGTTTCACTGCTTGACAATATGGCAAACTATCGGAAACTATGCGAGTAAGTAAGCTCTGAACTCAAACAATGGCGGGCTTATTAACAAGCCGTGCTTCACAACCACACGACCCTGTTGACTTACAACATAGTATAAGGAATATTAGAAGGTTTGGTGTAGAAGGTACATTTTGGAGAAAATTAATCTCTCTTTATTATTTTATCGATTCTTATAAATATATTAAATTCTGGTCTAAGTTTCAAACATAGGAGGCAGTAATTTGTGAAAAAAATAAGATTCACTGTATCATATTTAAATATCTATTTGCGGTGCCAATCATGTATCTGCCAACTAACTGTATTTGTGTTTAGGTTCTATTACGTTGACTTCAAATATTATGGAATAACGTCTATAATTATTAGTTTTTATGTTAAATGGGTGGCAAATAAGCGTACGGCCCTCCTGATGGTTGGCGGCTACCATGACCTATAGGCGCTTGCCATACTAAAAGTATAGTACAGGAGGGGGGCCCTACCCACTAAAAACCTGCCGATGCCCCTCACCGCACTCGGTCCGCGGTCCCAACCAGCGTGGTTGAGACAAGGGCACTAGATGAGGCCACAGGCCATTACGGAATCTTCCGCGACCTCACCAGTGACCGCCCGAGTCGAACGGACACACCCGTCTCCCCCGAAAGAGGGGAGTGTTGGGGCTGCCCCGGAGCATCATGGGCATCCCCAGCCATCAGCAAAGACCTGTGCAAGGCAGGATCTGAACCTCCCAAGTTCAAATCCTCTTCCGGGAAGAGCCTGAAGACGAAGGGGGTTCCCCCGTCTCCTTGCTCTCACCCTCCTACGTCGGAGGACCCAATCCCCTGCCCCGTGGAGCCCTGGAACCTTACTCACCAATAGAGACACAACACCACCAAAAGGTAGTATTTCTTACTATGGTCTTCTGTAAGTGTTTACTTTCCCAGGCGGGTGCTCCAATTCGGGCGGAAATCCGCTGTCTACACCTCTCTTAATGTCTTATACAAATAAATAAAAAAGAGCTTGTCCTCCCTTACAGGGAATTTTAAGATGAACCGTAGGACTAGGTTAGATTTTTTGGACAACTATCTAATAGCTTGCATTTTTGTTTAAGATTTAAATTAACATAATGTGATATTAATCAGAAGACGTCTGGTACTTTTAACACAGAGTTATTGAAGTTCAAGGATTCACCCAGTGTTTTGTCTCTGTTCATCGAATTCTAAATGCCATTAGACTGATGTAAACAAAACACAGCGTCAGCAGTCTTCATTAACAAACAAGGGAAAGGGTGAATGATTAAAATCAAATTAGTAAATTACGTTAGTACGGATTTTGTCCTGCTCGTCACTGCCTAGTTGGAGGGTAGACTAATAAGAGTTATAACCCAGTGTTCGTCACAATGAACTAATACGTCGTCAGTTGTCGCACGGGGTATTTAATGAGTTTCCATGTTGCCGGCAGATGACGTCCCACAGTTTGCTAATATACATACAGTTGAAGTTGCGTAAGCTTTATACAAGTTGGAGATTCTATCTAGCTTGATGATCTAATATGGTATATTAGATATAACGCAAATAGTAATGTGTTTTGTATATCTCGTATATATCAAGTAGGATTAGGATTCAGCAATGGTTTAATTTTATAATCACCATTTGTTTATTTTCTCCGTTATATTTATATTATCTTTCCTATCTTATATTATGAGGAGCTCGATGGCGCAGGTGGCTAGCGCGTTCGGCTGCGATCGTTGAAGTTAAGCAACTTTCGCAGTGGTCGGTCATTGGATGGGTGACCAAAAATTTACTATCTCGAGCTCCTCCGTGCTTCGGAAGGCACGTTAAGCCGTTGGTCCCGGCTGCATTTGCAGTCGTTAGCACCCACCAATCCGCACTGGGCCCGCGTGGTGGGTCATGGCCCAATCTTCCTATTCCATCCATAGGGAAGGCCTGTGCCCCAGCAGTGAGGACATTAATAGGCTGATGATGATGATGATGATGATGATCTTATATTATTATCTGTTGCACTATATCTTCCTTTCCAGCTTCTTCTTCTTCTTCAGTACACATCTATCCGATACTGAATTAATAACAACGCATCTATCTATAATTTAGTTTTTCTCCACAGTATAATTATAGTACCATCTTGTGCTACCCCTAACAGTAAGGCAATTCCACTTCTTCGCTGTACGCATTATTAAAGCTTTACTAGCTAACCTAGCGAACTTCGTGTCGCCTCAGTCGAAGAATGTGGTTAATTTGAGGGGAAAGGTTCTAGTGAGTCAAACTTAAAAGACAGACATATCCTGTCGCTTTCTTTTTATAGAGCTTTTAAAGTGAAACAATTCCGTTATACATGATTTTTGTGTAATTTAAACCATTTACATAGCGCACGCAACGAAATTCGGAGGCTCTCAAATAGTTTTTTTTTCCAGTTATCGCAACACTTTTTTTTCCGCCCTGATGTTCCCTGAAAAGTCTTTCCAGCTAGGGGCTTCCTCAGCTGGTTTTTAGTCTCTCAAGTAACATTTTTCATCGATGCTCTGGTCCTGCTAGCTTTAGCGTGATTATATAGTCTTCCTTGTTAATTTTACTATCCAGCACTATTATATTATTTTTTTAAATGGGGATAGTAGTTCCTGCGATTAGCGCGTTCAACCAAGCAATCAAACTCTTCAGCTTTATAATATTAGTATAAATTTAAGATGCGTTTTGTGCGAAGAAGAGAAATAGCAACCAAGAAACACTTCCAGATGTACAGCAGGCTACCATCGTAGCCTGCTGTGCATCTGGACGTCCGATAGACGAAGGTGGTATGAGTTCGTGTAATTCCTGAGCATACTCCCTGAAGTAAAGCCTGTAAAACACTGAAACGCGAGCAACCAATATAATTCTCTTGACTCTGTATCCTACCGGTCTCTTAACAATAGATGATTTGATTGTGTACTACCGTACATCCTATAAAGAAACTCTCTTCTTTTGAACTTAAGTCTTACGCTTTGTTTAATATTGAACAGGTGAACTATTCCTGTTCTGGAATCTATACAGCGCCCCAGTCCTATTGGCGCTGGTGGCCGGCGAGGCGGCGGCTGTGATGGAAAACGTCACTGATGACGTCATCGTGGGCCGCTGCATCGCCGTGCTCAAGAGCATCTTCGGCCACGCTGCTGTGCCTCAGCCGAAGGAATGTGTAGTAACAAGGTACGATTATCAATAATTTTTTTTAATCCCCGGCGAAAAACCAGGGGTGTTATAATATTTCACGTGTCTGTGTACCTGTCTGTACCATCGTATCTCCTAAAGGAATTGACCGATTCGGATGCAGTTTTTTATTTATTGGAAAGCTGACATGATCTTGATGATTCTTAGCCATAATTTATGAATATCTGTTAGGGGTTTGAAGATCATTTCCAATTTTTTTATTAATGAATATATTTTCCTTGTTAGTGAATAATAATAGTTAATGTAAAAAACGGATGGCGATTAAAAAGTCACCAGGCGTCCCATTAGATTACAAATTATCCATCAGTCGTACATAATTCGGACTGCCAGCAAACTGACAGCAGAACCTACATCTAATGGACGCCTTTAAGATTTGTACCTACTTAAAACTCATACCTACCTATCTCTTTATAGTGAAAATCAAAGAGTTGGGTAGTCAAACATTATAAAAATCCTCTCTTAAATAGTCAGTGCATTGTTCTTTACAAGATAGTTATTTACATCACCGTGCATGCATGTGCCATCATTAGCTCGTATGAGTCCATTTCTGGAGCACTGTATTGACCTATCATCATCATCAGCCTATTAATGCCCCCACCGCTGGGACACAGGCCTTCCCTATGGATAGAATAGGGAGTTTGGGCCATGACCCACCACACGAGCACAGTGCAGATTCGTGAGTGCAAACGACTGCAGATGCAGCCAGGACCAATGACCGACCATTGCGAAAGTTGCTCAACTTTCACGCATGAGAATGCGTTCACCAACTGCGCCATCGAACTTCAATGACTGATCAATCAACTCTGACCTATGTCTTTCCACAATTTTATTTTTCTGTTATAAATTTGCTAGAAGACTTTAAGCAGTAATCCCCAATAAATGGTCAAACTCCGCTTTAGTTACAGAAACTAAGATGCTAATTTATTACCCTTCCTTTAGGTGGCGCGCAGACCCGTTCGCCCGAGGTTCCTACAGTTTCGTGGCAGTCGGCTCGTCGGGAACTGATTACGACCTGTTAGCAGCGCCGGTACCAGGCGCACCTGGAGAGAACCGACTCTTCTTTGCTGGTAAGTATTGTAAAAGTCCATATGGGAATAGTACTACATTAAAAAAAAAGTGATTTCTCACTATTGACTATCATTATCAGCCTCCCAATCTTCACGATGCGTTCACGGCACAAGTCATCCCTACACAGAGAGAACGTACAGAACTACAAAAAGAGAAAGAGTATTTTGTATATACGGCGCTATCTGTTGTTAAGTGTAAGTGGCCTGAGTCTTGGATCCATACTAATCAACAGTTACGCAATACCACCAAAAGGTCCTGTTATTTCACTGTGGTCTTCGGAATTCCAATTCGACCAAAAAAATCAAAATGCCGTGACCTACTCTCTTAAAATTACTTAGTCTTTCTTGATCAAGGACATGGAGCAGGATCTAAGCGACTCTCTCTATTCAACAGTAAAGTAAAACGAGTTTACCTGAACTGATAAGTGTGAGAAAGATAAAGCGATAGCTTTTCCTCTCTTCTTGTGAGTTATGAATTTCATGCGAGTTTCATACACTCCGCTCTTCATTTCTAGTCTTGATCTTGACCTAGTGTGAAAATATATGAACTATGTAGAAATATTATTTGTTATAGGAGAGCACACGATGCGTAATTACCCGGCTACAGTCCACGGTGCATTCCTCTCCGGTTTGAGGGAGGCTGGTAGACTGGCCGATTTACTTCTACCGCAGCAGCCTATAACGAATGCGAGCGTCGCGGCCGCCACCGCTGCGGCGAGTCAGTTGTCTTGACCTGCTGTGGACTAAACGTATGATACCTATTATTGTTTTAGTCAACGAATTAGAAATTATATGGAAGCATTCCTCTCTAACAAAGGCCACTAAAACATGGTTCCAAACCTTAGAGCAAAGTTCCAAACTCATACAGCTAAATTTCAATACTAACACGACACACACATACAAAGCAACACAACAAGCCAGCAAGCAAAAAACTCCAGTTTAATATTATCTTTCCCAATGCATGGATAGCCGTACTCGTTTACAGATATTTGATTTTTCAAACTATTTTAGTTTGTATGTGTCTGTCGCGTTAGTATTGAAGTTTAGCTGTATGAGTTTGGAACTTTGCTCTTAGGTTAAGGTCACTTGATCGCAGTTTGTGTGGAACCACTTGTAAGCGCAGTTCGTATTCTATTTTATTTCTAACTCATTGGTTTTAGTAGTTTAAGTGGATGCTGTCCCTTCCTTTGAGATGATGATGGAAATAGAAGTTTCCTTTTACTAAATGCAGAATTCTGTTCTTTGCGATAGCAATAGAAACCTGAATGTCACTATGACTAGCATATAATTTAATTGACATCTCTGATACAGCCTTTGTTTTTAGATATAAATCTACATTTAATTTAAGTTAAGTTTTTCACGCTCAATTTGGTGGATAGCTGTCATCTTTAAGTAAAAACATTAAGAATAGCTCAGCCATGCTACTCTTATGCTTCGATTAAGAATGCTACATTTTGTATATAATCCAAAAAAGGCGTAAATACAGGATAATCGTCGTACTCGTACTTAAACAGTGACACCTGAATCCTATTACTAAGCCTCCTCTGTTCGTCTGTCTGTTTCAATCAGATTCAAGCTATGCTGCGTTGTGGTATGGTCTATTTAGTAAACTTGTTCCTCTTTAGATTAGTTATAATGAGGAAACATACAATACGTAGTGTGCAGTGTTTTGTTGCTGGTTTTTTTTTAATTAATCCTTCTTTAAATAAATTGATTCATTGCCTAGACGGAAATGTTTAAAAAAGTTTTAATGCCTTTATTCTGCATTAACATTAATTAAACTTTAAGCTGTGCATTCTAACACTATTGTTCTTTTATTTTTTCATTAAACTCGACTCTTAAGGCATTAGTAAAGCAATTTTCACTTAAAATAGAAAATGTTTAGTGTATTTTAGTAAAATGAGGATCAACTCTAAAATGGAAAACATGTTATTGTTTTAAAAGGTACGTTGTTTTTTTGCATCTATGCAAGCACACTTATCATTAATGAATGAGGTTTTATCGAAAGAAATAATGTATTCAGATTTTACACATGTAGTTAAAATTAGCTAGTCTTGAAAGTTGTTTTGTATTTTTCAAGGGGATTAGTGTGTCTGTACATTTAACGTATGCAGTGAGTGAATCCTATAAAAATAGAAATTTACAATGAAAATAATGGTTCACAGTATGTTGGTAAGTAATCTTATTTAAAACCTTGTTGTGTTTTCGATTCACGTTGTCATCATTTTTATTTCGCCTAAATTTTCAAAAGTCAAGATGTGTTCCTAAGTTTAATTAAATTTTAAGTACAAGTAAATTAATTAATTGATCTTAATATATAAGAAAGCAGTTGTGAAATTACTTAATTTTACTTGTCAAAAATGAATTTGATGTATGCATAGTTTAATAGTTGGCTGTAAGAATATGGTTTATTTTTGAGAAGAGATAGATCAATTACACTTTAAAACTTAAAACTTTTCTTTGGTTTTTATATTTATTATACGGATCAATTTGACAGTGTTGGAGAAGATTATGAAATTAAAATTTATAACTTAATTTGGTCTAAGGTTAAGAACAAAATTTCGATTCATTGAATATTGTTTAAAGTAAAATTTGGTACTGACATCAATGTAATAGAGATACTCTGAAATGTGCATTTAGTTAACTATGCTATGATTGTTTAGAAGTTGCAGCGCTTACGTTATATTGTATTAAGGCTTAATAAAAACCTTCATTAAATATGTCAATATATTTGAAGTAATCATTTTGTATCGGTATTAGAAAATAAATGAATGAAATAAACAACCCTTTTTTATTTTTTAAGATCGTGTTTTCTAGGGTTAGCACAACGTTATTAAATACCCTATACATCAACACGAACAAAATCATAACCGAAACCTATTCCAAAGGTAGGTACATTGGACGATTCTTTATTTTCCGTCTGTCTGCCTGTCAATAAAACGCATAGAGGAATCGAGTTGAAATTTAAACCATATACCAAGGGTTACGGTCCCTTGCAGTTATGAAAAATTTTAACTTATAAGTCAACGAAATAATTTAATCCGATTATCTGTTTGTTAGGATCCTTTATCCCGGGAACGCGTAATGGGAAATACTTGAAATTTAAATCATACACCCAAGTGTACGGTCGCTTGAAGCAGTAAAAAAAAATCAAATAAGATACAACTGTTTATGTTGTGTAACCTACTAATTTGTGCGGAACCCTCGATGGGCGAGTCCTACTCGCTCGTCTAGCTTTTTGTTTCTGAGTAGGTGAGGCGGGGTAGTGAGTGGCCTATGACTGGCCATTGCGAACTTCTACCTACGATCAAAGACCCAATTCGCTAACAACTATGTCATCGAGCTTCGCAGGTAGCGATTTATATCTGCACTCTCCAACTAGTAACGTTTTTTTTTTGAGTGTGTATGTTGTTGGTCGCAGATGACCTTTACAGCGTCTACGGTTTTGGGGACGGCGAGATCCTAAGGGGACCTAAAGTCGAGAATTAGCGAGTGCCTCTAGAGGTATTCCAGGCGGATGGCATCTTCCCACGGGGGGTGTCTCCTCTCCGTCTGGAGCCTCTAGACCACTCGAACCCGAGGGGTCGGCTCAACTAGTGGGCGTCTCTGAGACTCGGACCTCACCTCGGCTAAGTAAGCCGTTGTCGTGGGGGGGGGGGGGGGGGGGGGGGAACGTCCATGTACGTATCTGTACGTGTCGTGCGAAGACTCGTAAAAGCTGCGACTAAAGGCGCTTGTTAATGATCGGTTTTCCGCCGGGTCTAGGCACAGTGTCTACCCGGGTCGGTGCCGGCCGAGTTTGTCCACGAGCATGGTTGGTGCGTTTGTACCGACCCCAAACCGCAGCTGGCGCCGGTATCGTTAACAAACAGTGTTGCCAGGTCCGATTTTTAAAAATCGGGAGGCGTTATTTATAAATAAAACAGCAGATGCAGACACGTAGTTTTTTTGAATTGCACCCGAATAACGAATGTGTTTCTGTGGCTTCTACCGCCACTAAAAGCTCGTTTTTTTAGACAATAACATTTATTTTATAATATTTACGGTTACCTACATTATTAATGACGGAAAATGCAAGTCAACATATAATTTAAAAATAAAATCGTATTCTAAGAAAAGCAGTAGATTCATGTAGTAAAACAGGAGAAATTTCAGAAAAACAGGAGATCTCCTCTAATATCGGGAGACCTGCCAACACTGTTAACAAACCTCCATAGTATCCCATACTTACCTGACGAAAACGGTGCCTAGACGTAGTAGACGTACTGTAGAAATCGTCTCGTTAACAAGGCCGTAAGGGGTGATAAAGCAACATTGAGATTCGCTGGCTGCTAAATTATCAGAACTAGTATTCTCACACAGTTTCAAGCAAGATTCTCGTAAATAGTGAATGCGACATGTTGTCAAAATCTACTGCCTAATTCTGACTATTTTTTATTTCGTTCGTGCCCAAATCATGAAAAATGTCTACGAAAACGCATATTTGCGATCTAAGGCTTCTGGGGAACTGTAAAAAAAGACCATTCAAAAAACCGGGAGCCCGATACACGATTACATTAAAACAACATAACAACGTATTTATTTATAGTTAGTTTAAACCGAGTTTGTTTACGCGCTAGGCGGGGCCGCTGAAGGATTTATGGAGTATTTTAATTGTATTTTTAATTATTTTCCGACGACGACGATGCCGCCGCCGACGGCAAATTGAATCTCACGTGAAATTGTTCAGATGTTATCTTTCGATCTATCTGGGGGGAAACGCAACGAATAGTTTATGGTGTGTGTCTATGTTTATTTTACATTATGTATCCGCATTTCGTGAATGTAACCAAGTACCAACATACATACATACATGAAAAAAGGGCTGAGAGTTACCTGTCCAACTGTAATTGTGCTATTAAACTTGGCTCGAATACGAGGGCCAATGTAAATCGGGTTAACGACTAAATGTAAATGAACGGAGTCGAGTACGCCCGTTTTCGGGTAGATTTCTTTTTGTTTACCCGACACCGTCTTCCAGCTCGTATTCCAGTGTAAATATTTCTTCGGGTGCCCGAATTCGAACAATGTCTTTCGTGCACCCGAATACGGGCTAACTACCAAATGTAATTGCGCCATTAAGTAGATCTGAGGCCCAAGCACAAAGTATCGTATCGTCAAAGTTTCTATGAAAACTAAGCAGCGATTACCGGACGTAAGAACAAACTGGCACCTTCAATAAAAAACATTAACGATGACGATACGATTACTGCACAGCTGTCAAAATTCGTGCTTGGGCCTCTGAGCAGATAAGTGTGAGAGAGACAATGCGATCCTGCGGCCAAAACTTCGTAAAGATATTGGTTGGATAAAAAAAAACAATTTTCAGTTTAGGCTTTTACAAGCACATGTGAAAGTCGAAAACTACGCCATCAGTTCGCAAATCTACGGCGGGAGACCTTGTATTGAGAAGAACCTGCAAGAAACTCAGCAAGGGCTGCTTTTTTCTCCCTGTTTTATTTCATATGGTGTCATCAAATTGAAAGCTGACCTCAAACTTATAATCATGTATGGAGGTCTACTTCCATCACATAATTTCAAAAAGGTAAGTAACAATACATGTCCAAAAGTAGAAGAGAATTGTCATTTGTATGCAAGTATTCATCTGTCTCTATAGTACCATCTTGCATGTCTGCAGTCGAAAAATGCCATTCAGTAGTTGACCAGAGCACCAATGGG